CCTTGAACTCACAGAGATCCAGAGGGATTTCTATCTCTGGAATGCTAGGATTAAAGGTGTGAGTGCCACCATTTTCTAGCCTTTGTATCTAGTGGCTGTTTGTTCTCTGACCCCAGATAAATTTATTAGAGTACACAATATTTTGGGGAACACAATACCACCACAGTAGACCTTGATTTTTAGCAAGGCAGAGGGAATGGGGAGAAGGGCGAGGCCTGCCAGAGTCACGTGCTGGAGTGGGCTAGTGTCCCTTCATGCAGATAGGCAACGGGAAAGAAGAAAAACCCATGTTGAGCTGAACTGAGCTGCTTTGGAAAGCTTGCCTCAAGAGAATGGGTAAGACGGCCACTTCCTGGTGGATCCTGCTGACCCTGGTCTCTCTTAATCGTTTCCTTCTGTGTTCTGTTCTTAACACAGGGTGTAGACCTCCGGCAGCCCCTGCAAGACCCAGTCGGGCGTCCCATCATGCATCAGTCTGGCATTAAACACGCCACAGGGGAGGCAGTCTTTTGTGATGATATGTCTGCCTTGGCAGGAGAACTCTTCCTGGCCGTGGTAACCAGCAGCAGGCCACACGCTAGAATCATGTAAGCGATCATGGTGGGGTTGGGAGGCTTGGAATACCCAGCGGGTACCTAGGGACGAGGTTGCCTCTTGGCAATTAATCCACTCAACACACTGGAAACACAATCTGAGCATGTATCTTGAAAACACAACATGAAGGGAAACCGTGGATGTGGGAGTGTAGAAGAGGAAGCCCCTACTGTATGGACAACTTTTTTCATCTGAAGAACTTGCTGTTGTTATCTGAGAATTTAATGGGGCAAGAACGACTTTCCTGCCTGTGAGACCCCTCAAAGCTGTGATCCTCTCTGTCTTTTATGACAGTCTACCTTCAGAGGAGCCCATTTCTCAAAGTGCCAGCCCCTGAGCACTGGCCTAGGGAAGCAGGCATGGACTCACCCTGGAAGGTGAGGCTAGTTTGTGCCCAGTGGAACGAGTGTCCTATACCTCCAACATCATTTGGCCCGTGTTAAGACTCCATATTGTGGACTTGCCTAGTGATGCTCATGTGAATCCGGGGAGTTCCTCAGAATCTCCGTCTTCCCTTGGATGAGGTCCTCACCGCTGGGTGACACACACTATGGTTTTATTTCCTTTCCAGTTCCCTCGACGCCTCTGAGGCCTTGGCATCCCCTGGTGTGGTTGATGTGATAACAGCTCAAGATGTTCCTGGTGACAATGGCAGAGAAGAAGAAAGCCTGTATGCACAGGATGAGGTACTGGCAGTGGCTCTCCCCTGGTAGAGATCATTGCACCAGGGCTTTGTGTACATAACCGCCCAGTGACCTGAGACTACCTGTCTGCTAAACCTTGCTCTGTAACTGACTTGGGGCAGTGAGAACCAGCTAAGCAGGCACACTTCTCCTTTTAAGACCAAGACATTGAGGCTTGGATACTTTGGTGACTTACCTGAGGCATATCAGTAGAGGCGCTGTTTATGCCAGCCTGTGCTCTGGGATACAAGTCACCCTCCCCGCCCCAATCCGGAGCACAGCCCTGCTTCCTCCCTGGCTGACAAGAGGAAGAAGCCATCTTTCATTCTCTCTCATGTATCCTCTGCTCTGCTTCTCCTCAGGTGATTTGTGTGGGTCAGATCGTTTGTGCCGTGGCTGCTGATACTTATGCTCATGCCAAGCAAGCCACAAAAAAAGTGAAGATTGTCTATGAAGATGTGGAGCCTGTGATCGTGACAGTTCAGGTAACTTTAGCATCTGCTTGCTCTTGGGGCCACCTGGCAGTGAGTTTTGGTAGGAAGCGTGAAAGGGTATTGTTAGAGGGAGATTCCTTAATTTATGGCATTTGTCACACACTCTGGCAATAATACTTACAGAAAAAAAATTCTGGAAGTTTCTTGACTTCTTCTTTCCATCAGATACTTCTGGCTAGAAATGGGCCTCCAACCCCACTACAGACCACTCCTGGGACCACCAGCCCTGAGGACACCTGAAACAAATCCTTCTGGTTTTCCCAATTTCCAAGTTTAACACTTGAATCTTAGAAAGTTCACCCCTTTGCCTCTTAGGTGGATTTGAAGATCTGTAAATTTGGAATTCATTTCTCTTAGCATCTGCCCTGGGTTCCATCTGCCCGGGCTCCATGTCATCTTTAAGTTTTCTGTTGCCCTACATGGGACTGGCCCCTTCCCCGGAGTGTGGAGAGGATCCTTTTGCTTTTCTTCACATTTTTCTAGATTCCAAGGTAAACTGCAGCAATTCCTTCTTGCATTTTGTGGCCAGCCCACTAGAGAAGGAAGCAGCACCATTCACCAGGAGAGGGCCAGTGATGGGAATCGGGGGCATTGCTTGGCAGGCCAGACAGCCTGCTGAGTGTTCTCTACTCTTTTACTATGGACTCATTAAGATTTGGCCACAGATCCCTACAGCGGGGTCACATACACTTGAAGTCAAGTGCTAAGAAAAATAAGAGATGAGCAGAGTTAACCTTACCACACTGGCTCATTGCATCAGAATAGACCAAGATCAGGAGGGTTAAGGACTGGTAAAGAGGTCAAAAGCAAGATTGAAGCATTAAGGGAGGAAGGCTCAGGTGGACGCCTTAACAATATTTCTGAGTATGGCTCAACTTCTGACTTCCGTAAGAGAGAAGATTAATAAATTAGCTATGTAAGGTAGGTGTACAGAAGATAGGCAGCAACTGGAAACATATCTGCCAGCCACAACGTAGGCAGACCACAAGAAGAAATTACAAATGGCCAATGTGTGATGCTGTGAATAAAAGAAGAAAATTAAGAGCTATAATGAGCTGTCGTTTTCCACAAAAATACCAAAGTGTGATAACACTGAGCGGGTGAGCTGTAGGAAAGGAAGCGGGTATTGTCTTATCTTCCCGAGATGAATAAGAAACACAACAATAATCTCTGTGAAGGAACATTAGCAACGTCTATGAAAAGTCTAAGCAAATAAATCCTTTGCCAGCAAGCCCAACATAGGATCTTATCCCCAGGCTCAGACTGCCCACCTGCAAGAGAAGGTTTTCAGAATCATTCCCTGCACCATTGTTGGCAACAGTAAACACTGAACACAAGCCCAGGTCTCCTCTGTGTAATGGAACTAAAGCTTGGCAGAGCACTTGCCTAGCATGCAGGAGGCCCTGAGTTCAACCTCTTTGAACCAACACACACACACACACACACACACACACACACACACACACACACACACACACAGAGGAATTATATGGAATTGTGTGTACTTTTTTATGAGCACATTCTCTATCCCATGGGTACAGAAAGATCTCTAAATCGTACTGATAAATGAAAGGCAAAAGTGTGAATAATGAGGTGAAGAATATAGACTTATGTTTATTAGTATTTGCATATATCTGGGAGAATACATAAAAACCTAACGGTAGTGCTCACCTTTGGGGGGTGCACCCACATATGTGCACCCACAGGAGGACTGCCTCTTCACCAATCTATGGGGATGCTCTCTCACTTTGCAAACGCTGAAATATGTTGTTTAATTTCAAAAAAAGTTTTAAATATAGCTTTGAAGAAAAAGTGAACCATTCACAAAATAGAGTCAAAAGAACAGCCAGCTGAGACTTTGAGAGGATGTTGGCTAAAGTAAGGGACTCGGTTATGTGTCTGATTCCAGCTACTGAAATTATTCTTTTTGTCACACTCATCAACATATCTGGCTATGACGGGAGGGTGGAGTGAACTCCAAAGCTAGTGCAAGCGTTTAGGCTAATCTAGCTGTAAGCCTCCATAATGGGTTTCTTCTGAAGATTAAAGAACACTCGTGTCCTGAATTCAGGGAAGATTGATGTGCGGTTGCATAATGGGCTGGAGTACACTGTGATCGTGTCTTCCAAAATGTGCCGGCTCAGAAGACAGGATCTAAGGTGTCCCCAGACTCACTGAGAGACTAGCCAGTCATGTGCTGGCTGGGGAATTTTGAAATTAATGCTTATCACTATACATGGGTTTCAGTGTGCAGGATCTGCAAATGACGAGACTGAGCAGCATGAATAACACCTTTTATTTGTTACCTTCCCAGGACGCACTGCAATATGAATCATTCATCGGACCTGAAAAAGAACTGGAAAGAGGAAATGTTCAGTCAGCATTTCAATGTGTTGATCAAGTCCTCGAAGGTGAATTCTTTTGGGGAGGTGTTCAGGGAGGTGGTTGAGACAGGGTCTTATTCTGTAGCTCTGGCTGGCCTCAAACTCACTATGTAGGAACCAGGCTGACCTCAAACTCACAGAGATCCGCCTGCCTCTGCCTCTTGAATGCTGGGATTAAAGGCGTGGTCTACCATACCCAGCCCTTTGAAGCTGAATCCTGAAGTACTTTCTTCTCGATTATAGGAGGTTTTAATACATTGATACTGCGGCTTCTATGAACGTTGAAGTGATGCTGTGGTGTATCCCAGCACTCCGGATGCTGAGGCAGGAAGAACATGAGTTTGCAGGCAGCTTGGGCTGGGGCATAGTGAAACCTGTCCCCAAAGCTAAGGGTGGGGGACACAGCTCAGTGGTAGTGCTTGCCCAGCACCTCCAAGGCTTAGATGAACTTAATGAATCCTAACTCTTCTTATGAAGTGAGCTATGAGGGGGAACACCCAGAATATCAGACTCAGAGAGAATTCTGGGAAAGATATGGAAGAGCTTGATTCATTGAGAAAAACAACAAACAAACAAAACAACTCTACTACCTTTGCAGACAATGGAAAACATTTGGTATTTTTGAATAGGAAAGCGGCAGGGTCTCAGTTGCCTATTAGAACACTTGGCAGAAAAACTCAGATTGAAACGGGATGGATGGGTCCATCATGGCCAGGTCAAAAGTCACCACAAAGTCCCCGTTGAGAGAACTGATGCTGTCTGGCAGGAGAATGTAAGTGAAGAGTTAGGCACTGACTAGATGTGACCAGCAAAGAACCTAAGACGACTCTGAAATTACAGACGTGTTGTCCAGGGGAAAAGTGATACTATTAGCAACATGGTTGACATCTTGGTGGACAGACAGATGAGGGATCCAAGAGGCATTGACCATACCACCCACAAAAATGAGATGGAATTCATCAGCAGTTAAGAATTCAGAGGCTTGGAAAAGAGTGGAGCTGGAGACAAGTTTTGGGTGGATCCATAAAAATCAGTCTGGTCCTTAAAGGAGCAAAAAATACCTAAAAATCCATTTAAAATCCATATTTAACCTGTTTCCACAGGGATTTGACATGACCTCCAGGTAATAAGACCAAACCCCCGGGGTTCAAGTCGAAACTGATGCTGTGAAAAGAAAAATTTGAGACGAATTGAAGTTAAGAGTTTAATTGAGTGAAAATGAGTCTCAGATTAGGGGCTCTGAGGAGTTCAGAGCTCTCTGCTCCCAGGGGGTGGACAGAAAGATTCAGAGACAGGAAGAAAAGTGGGTGGAGAAACCGGTCAGTTGGCGGTTTCTGATTGGCTGAAGCTCCGCGGCTGGGATTAGCGGAGACTTAAAAAAAAAAAAAAAAAAAAAAAAAAAAAAAAAAAAAAAAAAAAAAAACCACATTCATGAATTAGGTTGAAATTCATCATTGCAAGTATGGAGGCACTCTGGGGCCGAACATAACAGCACTGCAATGAAAGTTACAGTCACCAAACACTAAACACTAGGAAAGGAAGGGGCAGGAAGCAAAGGGGGCGGAGGATAAGAGGGGCCGAGTCTTCAGCGAGGATCTGCTGAACCCCTTACAGCTTCAAACCTGTTTCCCAGAGAAGTGAAGTTGGATGAACATGGTGATTCAGGGATGTTCACCAGGGACACTCAGCCCTGGAAGTCAATCGGGGCAGAAGAGTAAACACAGCCTAGAAATCCAGACCAGTTTACGAGCTGTATTTGTGGATGGATCGTCAACACTCCAGTCTTCTAACTACTCCTTTACACACGTCCACCTTCTTGACTGCAGACCAGCCTTATTGTTTGTTTGTTTTTCGAGACAGGGTTTCTCTGTGTAACAGGCCTGCCTGTCCTGGCATCTGCTTTGTAGACCAGGCTGGCCTCGAACTCACAGAGATCTGCCTGCCTCTGCCTGATGAGTGCTGAGATCAAAGGCTTGTGCCACCACTGCCCAGCCAGCCTTATTTTTTAAGAATCGTTTCTACATTTATTTGGGGGTGTGGTGGTGGGGTGCAAGTCTTCAGCCTTGCCATCAAGTACCTTTACCCACTGGCCCATCTCACTGACCCTCAAACTTTATTTTTTTAACACCTACGACAGATCATAGCTTTCTGAAACTTTTACTTGCTAGTTAGGCGAAATTTGTAAATGGAAGGAGGAGGAGGAGAGACAAATTTATCCTGCCCCCCTCCTCCTCTCCCTCATCATAAACACCATTTATTCTTTGTACCTGAGGTCTGTACTCTGTCTGCGTTGTTGTGTGGGTGGGGGTACATTTTGTAGTGTTGAGAATCCGACCCGGACCCTGACACTTGCCAGCCAGGTGAGCACTTTACCACTGTGGGTCCTAGCGAAGTCTCTTCCAGCTCAGTGGGTAACTGAGATGTGGTCTGTGGTTTTAATACGTCTAACAAGCAAATGAAAAGACATCAGGCTGAGTGAGTGTCACTGTTCCAGTACAAGTTTCTGTATGCTATGTAAAATCATTAACTGTCCTGGGCAGTCTCGTTGCAGAGATGAATTTACCCTTAGATAAATCATCTTGTACTTGAAATCCCAGTTGTTGCTCAAGCCAACAGAAATTAATTTCTAGTTCTTAAGAACGCACTGACATGAGTAGGTAGGGAAATGGAGCCAAATGCATAGGAGATTTTAAATTGCATATAATTAGCCAATTATGCATAATGACAGCTGCTTATGGGAACATTGTCAAATTGCAATGATTTATTTTTTTTTAAATCAAGACAGGAAACTAAATGCTATTCCCATGACCTAAAAGAAAATCATGACATTTAGCAAAACATGCCATACTCCACTTCAGATGTTTCTAAAGGATGTGTCTCTAAAGCTACGTGTGTTTGCTGTGTCTAAAAGGGGAAGTGCACTTTGGAGGCCAGGAACATTTTTACATGGAGACCCAGAGCGTACGTGTGGTACCCAAGGCAGAGGATAAAGCAATGGATGTATATGTATCAAGCCAGGATGCAGCATTTGCGCAGGTAGGTTTCATTTTAACGTGCCATTCATCTGACTTCCAGCTATGAGATCAAGGTAGGAGATACCAGTTAGACCAAAGTTGAACATCAAGTCACAGAGGCAAAACCGAGCCCCGATTTTTAGCAGCTCCTTCTGTCCTCTACAAAAGTCTATCCACTTCTCAGATGCCGGCTGCCTCCCGTCTCACTGGGAAATAAACTGAGGCTACAGGGCTCCTAGTCTTCATCTTCCTGAAGTCCCTCCCACCTCCAGGGTGTGGTGGGGGGCCCTCTCTTCTCTCCAGTCGGAAGCTTTACATCTGCACTTTTAGCCCCGTAGAAACCCACATTTGCCTCTGCTGTGTTCTATGATGTCAATTTCTAATTATTTGCCACCTGTTCAGATCAGCACACAAAAACATGTTTGCCGTGTGTGCGTGGGGGTGGGGTGGGTGGACATGCATGTGAGCATGTATGGAGGCCAGAGGTCCACCTCAGACGTCGTTCCTCAGGTGCCACCCCCCTTGTGTTTTGAGATGGTCTCTCACTGTCCTGGAGCTTCCCAAGTATTCAAGGCTAGCTGACCATCAGGCACCAAGGGTCCACCTGGCGCTTCTTCCTCAGTGCCGGGACTGTAACTGGTCACCAGGTCACCCAGCCTTTTTTACACATGGTTCTGGGGGTTGAAATCTGGTCTGCGTGCTATTGCAGCAAGCGTTTTACCCATGGAACCATCTCCCCAGCCCAAATATGCCCCGGTCTTAAAAATAACCCTCCTGGCTGGGCTATGGTGTGATGAGTTCAAGGCCAAACAGTGAGATTTTTGTCTCAAAAAAATTAAGTAGGGAGCTGAAGAGATGGCTCAGCCTTCAGAATACATGCTGCTCTTCTCCAAGACTCAAGTTTGATTTCCCAGCACCCACACCAGGGAGCTCACAATCACTTGTAACTCCAGCTCCAGAGGATCCCACACCCCTAAGCTCTTCCAACATTTGCTCTCTCTCTCTCTCTCTCTCTCTCTCTCTCTCTCTCTCTCTCTCTCTCTCTCTCTCACACACACACACACACACACTTAAAATAAAATTAAAAGTGTTAGTTACCATGCGGCGCTGTTTACCCTGCGAGAAAAGTCACAAAGCACAACAAAACCCACTGTAAGAGTTTATTAGGAGAAGGGATGGACAGAAAAGAATGTGCTTAGGCCTACTGAAAGACTGGTACAGGAAGACAGGGGAGAATACATGAGATCCACCTTTTATGGACTCTCCCCCCCACGCATGCGCATACGGACTTACGTAGCTACACCATGCATGCACATAGATTTCACCATCACATTGTGCACAGTTATGTGACCACGCAGCGCACGGTTTCCGTAGGCTGTAAGGTTCCCGGAAATGACTAAGTGTCTTACCAGCACATGCTTGGTCATGGGGGCGTGGCTAGAAAGCCTATCAAAAAGTGTCCCCTGATTCACCTGGTGGCTTCACCTGGTGGCTAATTCGCTTCCATCTCTCCCTCTCTTCTGAGACACACTCTAAAAACAATGGCTTGCACTTCCCTCTTACACTTCAATCCACTCTTTCTGCCACGGCCACCAGTTGCTGCTGTTCCTCAAATCTAAGCCACGCCTTTCTCTCCTGTCCTGCGCATCCTCATTGCCTTCCCCTGCACACCATTGGTTTATTCTCCGTGCACCTTGCTATGGCTTCAAGTCCCTCCTTCTGCTAAATGACTATGATTTTTCAAAATAGAAGTTTACACAGTAAAATATAAGAAGGAAATGAAATGTGCTAAATATGTGTGTTTAGGCAAACACACACATAGCCATGTGTCCCTACAATATTCGCTTTTACATTCACAGCATAGTCATTCTTGGGAAGTTTAACTGCTACAGGCCACAGGAATATATCATAAGAACTTAGATGGTTATGGCAAAGTCACTACCTGGAGGGATCAAGGATTTCCTCCAGAGGAAGCCAAATTCCAAGGAGCATTTGGTGTTATTTGGCTTGTTATATATCAGCTGTCTTCTGTTATGAAAATCATGTGTGCCTTCATTTTTTCCCAATTAATTTTTTCCTAAGAAGGGCTAACAGTGTGGACTGATCACTCTTTGGACATACATGTTCAAGGTATTTAGAGAACAGCCTCAGGAAAGGCTTCCTTTCCCCCAGCCCATCCATTTATCCCCTTTCAGCAGGTATCTCCCTTGGCCACTTTCAAGGACTAGCAGAAATAACAGTCCAGACCACCACATGCTAGTCGCCTGATTTAAGGTAAATTCCACAAGGAGACACCACCTAGGTCAGATGGACCTTAAGTAACAGCTTTGTGCAATTTAGCTCGGACCCTCCTTTTCTTACAGCCTTACTAACTTTATAGACCTCTAACTCCTTACCTAACCACTTCTAGGACTATTTAGATAACCTTCTGCTCTGATACCTATGCATAGCCAGAACCCCAGTTCAAGCCTCCCTGTAATTACCATCAACTTTCTCTTTTTCCAGATCTTACCTCTAGTTCCAGATATCCTTTTAACTATCACCAGAGGCATCTAGCTGTACACAGGTTGCCTAGCGACCGAGCACACTTTCACTCACCCTGCAGAAAAACAGCAGATAGCTTGGGCAGATAAGGGTCAAAGGGATAAAAAGGCAGTTTTATTTTCAGAGAATTAAGATAGAACTTAGAGGTATGAGAAGACAGAGAGGAAGAGAGGAGTAAAGAACTTGAGGACGGAGAACTGAGAGGGATAAGGAGGATTTACCAGAAGGAACGTGCGGACGAGATGGAAGATGAGGAAGAGCCAGATGGGGAAGTACTAGCTGGGTAAGAATGGGATGAGAAGGACCTAGATGAGGAAGAATTAAGAAGAGAGAATTAAGATAGAACTTAAGAGGGAACAGTAGATAAAGGTAGAAAGAAATTGGACAAGAAAGGAGCTAGGCACAAGAACAGAACTGAAGCTGTGTAGATAGGATGTTATCCCAGAGAGATAAAAGCAAGTGGACTAAGAGCTTGGTGTGCTGAGATTCTATTCCCTGAAAATAGTCCTCGCCGTTAGTAGTTCTCTCTCCTGAGCCCCTGGGAAGTATAATATTAAGGCTGGTTCCTCTAATATTATACAAGATTCAATGTTGATGAACACTGAGTCGTAGCCAAGTTTCCACAAGTGACTCCATCATGGCTCAAGGCTGCCCTTATCTGCTCTCTCTCTGCCCCAGTTCTGCTGTCTTTCTGGGCCTCTAGCCTTTCTTAGACCTGCACAGCTCCCTAGATTGATTCAGGCCCTTCAGAAACAACATAGATTATCCTGAGTCCACAGACACTGTTTACCATCAGGTTTGCACAGCCCCGCCCCATCACTCACTACCCAGGATGCATCCCTCCCTTTCCAGCCAGGCTCCTCCTTTCTTGTGTGAGCTCTTTGTAGCGTGCTGTGCTGGTGCTCATGCTTTTCTACCCATCGAGGCAGGAGCAATTATTCCCTGATTGATGTCTGAGTGAAAGAGTAGGAGTCGCCATTCTTTAAAGTCCCCCTGCCGCCACCTCTCACCCAGCTTCCCTCTGGTCCATTTGCTTCCCCTCCAGATCCATCCCCTGGGTCATAGCAGGCTCAGATTTACCTTCGTGTCACATGGTCCGCTGATCAGCTCTGCAGGCCTGACTTGGAACTGTGTGATATTTCCTTTTGCATAGTGCATGACTATCTGTCTCTCCTGCCAGTTCGTTTGTAGAAGGTATTAATGCTCGGCCCTAAGAGACCCTGGGTAGGATTATAGAGACCGCCGTACAGCGAGGAGTGAGGAGCCCAGGGTGGCTATTTGTAATGCGATCTATCATCCGTTAATTTTGAAAAGCAACAGCAATGTATCCTTTCGGCAGGCATGTTGCAAGCATCCACAGCATTTTCTGCAGTCGGTACTCAAAATAGAAAAATATATCCTTACTGTAGGCAGTGAGAAAATGCTAAGGGAGTTCTTCGGTAAATGAACTTCTTGCTAATCACGTGGGTTCTGTTTCACCCTCTTGGGGGCCTGTGGCCAAATACTCACAGGAAATGGTGGCTTGCACCTTGGGCATCCCGAAGAATAGAATCAACTGCCATGTGAAGAGGGTCGGTGGAGCCTTCGGAGGGAAAGCAAGCAAGCCCGGGCTCCTGGCGGCCATGGTGGCTGTGGCCGTGCACAAGTGAGTGGATCTGCCAGCCTCTGTGTCTCCTCGGTATCCCAGTTCTTACCTCTCTGGTCCCAACAATTTCAAGAGCTTTCTTGGAGACACTCTCAATTCATGCCAAGGGGGAGGGCAGGCCTATTCAGCCTCACTACGGGGGGGGGGGGAAGTCACTGCATTGGGGACAAGTTGACTCTCCTGTCTTCCAGCTTTCCAGCAGAGTCAGCAGCGTGGGGGTGGGCTCTGTCTCACACTCCTGCTGGGTTTTCAGCTCAACCACCAAGGAAACCAGAGTAAGTGATATAGACATTTTCATTGGTCTACAGTATGCACTGAGACATAGGCAAAAGCCCAGAGAGATGGAAGGTAGGATGGAGGGGATGTTATCCATGTGGGTGTTTCACTGCTCCTTACGGAAGAAGACACCTGGTAGCACATTAAAATTTTAGTGTGTTTAGAAGGACAAAAAACAGCTGACATCTGCGCTTCTTGGAAGAGCTATGTGGCTGGGGACTGCGGCAGGAGACTTGCTTTTCACTGAACCGTCTCTTGAATTTTTTAAACTATCCTATGTGCATGGATAACCTATTAAAAATAAATATTATAGTTACTACTGAGGCACATGGCTAACAAAGAGTTCTGATATAATGATGGAAGGGCCAGACCACAAATCCTGTATCTCTGAGGAAGACCTGATATGCTCTCAGATAACTTAGAATCTAGGGAGAGTACCCAGAGTTCCCAAGCCAACACACACACACACACACACACACACACACACACACACACACACACATATGTACACTCACACATTCTCTCTCTCACCACTATGTCCTACAAAAGGACACAATCACGAAGATACGAACCATATGCTCAATGTAGTAATCCTAACCATACTTAAGCAGACTCTGCTGCTAAGAGCTTCAGAAGTGGGGTATTCTTCAGTGAACTGTTGAAGGAAGAAGAGGCTGTGTTGATCTGATGGAGGCATGCCATCAGAGGTCTATGCCACTTTACTATTGTTGCTATTTTACCATTGTGTGTGCACGAGGTAAATACGGGCCAGGCACACTGCGGCACACATGTGTGGCACTCTGAGGACTGCCTCACAGACTCTGTTCTTTCCTTCCATCTTCATGTGGATTCAAGGATCAAACCCAGGTTGCCAAACTTGCATGCAAGCCCCTTTTCTCACTGAGCCATCTTGCCAGCCCATCCATGATGTCTCCTTAGAAGGTGGCATCTGATGCTCGCCTGGAGGGGTCCTGAGGCATGGACTGAAGTTGGAAATGTCCAGAGAAAACTCTGGAATTCCAACTGCAGTCATCTGGATATAACAAAATAAGGCTTAGCCAAAGGAACACTCACGAAAACAGGAGAATTAAAACCTAGAAACTTTGTAGGAGAAGAAATAAATGAACATGAATTGGTATTTGAATAAAGAATGCAAGGAATTAAAATATATAATTAGACTTGCATAGTATCTAGACCAGAGGTTCTCATCCTGTGGGTCACAACTCTTTCTTAGGGGTCACATATCAGATATCCTGGATATTAGATATTTACATGACGATTCATAACAGTACAAAATTACAGTTATGAAGTAGCAACAAAAATAGTTTTATGGTATGGAAAGTAATTGTATATCACCACAGCATGAGGAACTGTTAAAGGGTCTCCTCATTAGGAAGGTTGAGAGCCACTGAACTGGACAGTGGCATCATATAAGTGGAGTGTGGCTACAACAGGAAATAATAAAAGATTCACCAAAGTCTCCATCTTCAGAGGGTTTTAAGCTTCCCAAATTACTCTGGGGGGGGGAATCTAATTCATGGCTGTTGACCTTTTCTAAAAATTTAGTCAGGTCCGCAGCAGCCACAGGCAGACTTGACGGTGAATAGAGGTCCTGGAAAGGAGCTTCCATCGCCCACAGGCCCCTTCCCAGCCTCCTCATCCATCAGGAAGCAGCAGGAAACTCATGGCGTCCTCTCTCCTAGGAGAGGCTGCATCCTGGCTCTGTCCTTTCATAGACAGAACAAGAGCTGCTGCTGACACTCTGCAAACCTGAACTCAAATCTCCAATCTGTTAGAACTGTTTCTCTCACATCTGTTTCTCTCTAGGACTGGCTGCCCAATCCGTTTCATTCTAGAGCGTGGGGATGACATGTTGATAACCGGGGGACGTCACCCACTGCTCGGGAAGTACAAGGTGAGTGGGTAGCACAGTCACTGTACACATGCCGCTTCGGAGGCCTGTGGCTTGCAGCTCCAGATCTTCAGTGTGAGCACTCTGTGAAGTGAGAGATCCCACAGAACCACCGCACTGAGGCTTTGAACGACCTTTTAAAGTCGGGGACTCTTTTTTTTTTGTTTTTGTTTTTCAAGACAGGGTTTCTCTGTGTAGTTTTGGTGCTTGTTCTGGATCTCGCTCTGTAGACCAGGCTGGCCTCGAACTCACAGGGATCCGCTTGCCTCTGCCTCCCGAGTGCTGGGATTAAAGGCGTGCTCCACCACTGCCGGCTGAAGTCGGGGATTCTTATCTGAGTGCTTCCTGAAGGATTCCAGAGCCTCTTACTAACAGAGCACCGGGCAAAGCAGGGTGTCTCGGGGCTGCTAATCGCTTAGGCAAACAACTCTAGATAAGAGGTTTTGATAGGCACGAATTGCTTGCCCAAGGTGAAAGTTGCGTAACTATGAGAAGGCTCTGCGAAGCATCGGGCAATCGGTTCTCCAGAAGCTGGCTCACCCTGCTGCGTTCACTAAGCCCCAAATTCATCTTGGAATGACCCCTTTTCTTCGACAGACCCTAGCAAAACAGAACACCAACAGCCCTGGTCTTCTCACCGAAGCCTCGGCATTGCCGGTGTGACCCTTGAGTGGCTCCACATAAAAGGAGAGGAGATGCTAGGACAGAGGCTGGGGGCAAGGACACAAGTGAGCGGGAACTGGCATTTTCGGCTCCCACCGTGCCTGGGACCTCTGGAATACAGATGTTTCAGGATCTGACACTTCTCTCAATTGGACTCATCCTGTACATTCATGAGTCCAGTTCAAAATACTTCCTCCTTGCTGGAAGAGAGTTTTCTAACAACCTCAACCTGGTCAGAAAATACCGCTAAGAAACAACAAAGCTGGCCTCCCCTGGCTCCAACTGTAGACCCCGGAGACTTCAGCCCATGGGAGACTTGAACTGGAGCAGAAAGCGTGAGTGGCCCCTCACGCCACCGTGGGTCAGAAGCAGAACCTTGCTCAGGAGGACCTTCCCTGGGAGACTTCAGCAGCTGAACCCCCAAACCCCACAGTTCATTCTCCCCGACTGTTTCTAAGGAGTGCTTCCTGTGTGCCAGGTGCCACCCTGTCCATCCCTCCTGAGTACCTGGTGCATACTTCTAACCTTGGACATCTCCTTCTGAATCACATGGCCAGTGGTGGGCCTGTCTCTATACCAGGCCACTGGCTTCTTGTGCAGGAGGCCGGTCCTATCTTTACATGTCTGTTTTCTTAGTATCAACCATATAAACAAAAATACGAAGTGTGTGATAGCCACAACACTCTGTAAAGGAATTGGAGGTCAGTCAGACAAGCAAGCCTGTTTTCCCTGGAGCAGCCATCCATTCAACAGATCAATACCCCATTCCATAGGACCTACAGAGGAATCAGTTGATCCAGCCAAGATGGGGTGGGAGAGGACCCTGATAACTCAGTCCACTGGAATGTTCCTTTTTAGTTCCCAACCTTCTCCTTCCAGCCAAGTATATTGTAAACTATTGCCAAAATAGACAGAATCCTTATAATACTGCAATAAAAGCTGCTTGCTTTGTGGGGGGAAAAAAAAAACAGCAGAAACTCGGTATGTGTGGACTGGAGACAAAAAAAGCTGAGATGTAAGGAGCACTGTTCTGAGGGGACAGGGAGCACTCCAAGGAGGGAAGGCTGTATGCATAGGGTGGGTACCTAAGGCAAATCGCAGTGTGTCCATCCAGTCAGAATCCCTGCCCCTTCCAGCCTCTTGCAGCCTCCATGGACATTGAATTCCCCTCTCCCTCAGCTGCTGTGACCACCTCAGGCCCAGCAGGAACGCTGGCTGCCTCCCATCTTCAGCCTCACAAATGCCTGATTAGGTAACCCAGATCCAGCCTAGCTAGGATGCTGATATTACTCAGATTACTGAAAAAAACTATGCAAGAAGCGAGAAGAACCACTCAATGTTCTGGGGGAAGACGCCTGCGGAAAGTGATGGGGACGGAGCAGAGTGCCCCCCCCCCACCTTAGGTTTCTGAGACAGTCTTACTCTGTGCTTCTGGACAGCTTGAACACTGGGGCTGCAAGTGTGAAGCCCCTGTGGGTCAGGTCCGCTGGGATCAGAGTATTGGTAAGGATGGCCGGGCTTACTTAATGGCCTGCCTTCTCTCTTCTCTGAATCATGTGGGTATATATATGCACAAGTGAGTGCAGGAGCCCGAGGAATCCACAAGAGTGCACTGGATCCCCTGGAGCTAGGCTAAGAGGCTGTGAGCCATCTGCCATGGGTGCTAGGAACTGAACTACGGTCTCTGTAAGAGCATGAACTGATCCGTCTCTCCAGCCCATTTCCAGGCACATTTCAATTCCTTTCTTATAATTTTAAGGGATAATCCTACTTGTGCCGCAAGCTGTAGGGAGCCAAATACTGAGAACGTAAGCCTATGGGGAGCACTCCTAGTCAAATGATTCCAGGTAAACACTTCATTGCAAGTTAACCATTAATCCACCTGGGGTAACAAGACTGGCAAGTGCTTGGCCCTTTGTTTGATTATCTGAAGACTAGGTAACATGCACCTGTTTAAACCTAGAGAAAAGTTACTGATTAGTGAACTTGAGATCCTTTTCTTAGGAATAGTTAGCCATTAACAATGGCATCTTTTCTTGGAAAACAGGGAGAAATAACAGATACAGTTTTAAAACTTTAGGCACCTTCATCTACAGCTAAGCTAGTATTACTCAAGCGTATGATCTCCAAAGTTAATGAGTGTTGAAGTTAAAGCAACTGAAACTGAAGAGTTTTTATTTTCCTTGATTACTTTTCTTATCTAAACCACATGTCTGTTTCCTTAAAATGTTTGCCAGTGGTAAAAATGGCATCTTCGTCTTGTTCCCAGTTTCCGTGAGAATGCTTCTCCTGAGAAAGTGGTGGGGTCACACCTGGAAAGCCCATTTAGGATCACATTGCAGCATAAACTGTTAGTATTTGAGTGGGTTTTTTTTTTGTTGTTGTTGTTTTGTTTTAAATCTCAGTTGGTACTGACTTTGTCCAATGCTGCTTGGCACTGAAATTTGATTAGCATCCAACCAAGAGATAAAATTCATAATTACTGTTTGCTGTAGTCTAAAGAATGAGAAGGTGTGTGTGTGTGGGGGGCAGCGCCTGGAGTACCACAGAAGTGACTCTAGGAAGCTCCCACACATCTCTGAGGCAAGACACAGAAAGAGTGGAATTTAGAGGACTCCTCACACACACACAC